ATGTCAGACACAGATTCAAACCAAGAACAACACCGTCTGCAAGTATTGCCACCTCCAGTTTGTCTAGTCCTACCAAAAATAATACATGAGTAGGATGCAGTTAATGCCAGAGGTGCTCAGTGCTTGGCTGATGGAGTATTGTTTCCTGGTCTGTTTAGGTTCTGGATGGAAAAATACAGCATGATGAACAACTGCAGTGTTTGTCTCAGAGGCAGCTACAACAGCTAGGTGCTAATGGGTCTAACCAGCCCCCCGAAACACAGAGCCAAAGAGGGAAAGAGCAGAGCAGGGCTCAAAAAAAGACAAGAAATGCAAGAAAACAAGAAATATAGTGAGATGAAAATGCACACAGATCAGATTTGGGCTAACAAGATACATTATCAGTGTATCAGAGTTTTTTTTAAATTCAATTTAATTCAGAATCAGAATCAGAATCAATCAAGCTTTATTTGTCACAAGCAGGTTGCCCTGCAGTGAAAATGGGACCCCCCGACCTTACACACATAACACAGACATCACATGGGGTTAATTCATTTTTCATTTTTATTTTTATTTTGTTTGTTTTTTTTAAATGAGACGAGGCTAAATAATTTACATTCACAACATAATGGCAAATATTAGCATTAAACATAGTATTTTATTTTAATTGTGCCTTCTTGTCAATATATATATCAGTGTATGCACATTAAAAAAGCACTTTTTAGGCACTGCTAAAAATCATCATCTTAAATTCTTTCTATAGCTTGATGACCATAATCACAAGTTCAGCAGTTACAGCAAAGGTCAGTAAAAGTATACAAATGACAAATGTAAGTCTGATGAATTAAAAATTAAGGTCTTTATAATCCTTTTACTGCTGTACAGCTTCTCCTTTTCCAGTGATTGTGCTTTTTTGGGTGGCGTGTATCGCGTTAGGACATTAGGAATTACTCGGGCTGTGCATGTCTGTCTTCCATTGGACACAAAATCTCCTGCAAAAATGAAGAGTGAGTTTCTGATGATTCTGCTTTGTGTGGTAGCTCTTGGTATGTTTCCCAGAAAGTTGAAATGGCAGACCTAGCAAAAAAAAAAAAAGAAGCTTTAAAAAGTATTTGAACTAGGCCAAGAAGGAGACAAAGGGGAAAAAAGGAAGATAAACCTGAAAGTTGGTGGCTTACTGTTGCCACCTCCTACTGATGAAATCATAGGAAAGATTTGAAAACATTTATGGAAATAAATTTTTGCAAAGCTTTAATTCTGATGTCTACAAAGTCTGCAGGTGTCATACGTTGTTAGGTAATGTTGAAAACACTGACTGTATATGAAAGATGGATATAGTTTCTGGATCTGAAAAGTTTTTAATGACCAGCAGGGGGCGACTTCTCTGGTTGTATAGAAGTCTTTGGAATAAAAACCTTTCAAATCATTTATGACCTTACTAATACTTTCCTGGCAGCTTTATGATCTTAGTCACTAATTTCAATCTCACTGATTGGTTTATTGACTGACAGCGTGATGTTAGTTTTCTAAATTATGGCCTATATCGAAGTCCAAAGGGAGAAAAATGCAGGGTTTGGTTTAGCATGGGTCTACCTTGAATCAAAGCTGCACTGCAACCATCATGTTCAGTTTCAAAACTCCAAGACCCCGATGGACTCTCAGCTTGAGGCTTTTTATTAGAGCACCTAAGCAAGGACTGGGTGAAGTCTGTGGCTACATCCATCTTTTATATACAGTCCATTGTTCAAACAGGGTTACTTATGAATGATACGTTGTCATTATACGTGAGCTTATATAAGTTAATTTCCATCGTATACCCTTTCTTGTTTCTCATACTAGAAACCAGAACTAAAAAAACATTTTCAGAGTTTAGCAGAGCAGCATGAAAGCAGGGTGTTTTTTTTCCGTCAGAAGCCAAACATACCAGGAATTCATTTTCTAAAAATCCCTCTCAGCTCAAAATCAAAACACTGTTTTGTCATTTCATTCATCATTGGGAGATTCCTTTTGGTAAATGAATTTGCACTAAACAGATTGCTTCAGAGAAAAATTAATACAAGTGTTTGAAGTAAGAGATGAAGAGCTTATAGACGGTGCAGTGGATCAACAATCAGAGAACAGCAAATCCTTTGAGCCATCCCACCAAATACCACCCAAGTCAAAGTACCACCCAGCTTGAAAGAGAAACAGAATTCATCATCAGTTTGACTCCGCTGTGTTTTGTCTCCGAGCTCTGTGTAGTTTTCATTGGCCAAATTTACTACAGTGTGTCTGCTGGTTGTGTAACTGTCCCACCCCCAAGGAAGTAAGAGGAAGTATCCCAGTGCGTCTACCCTGCACACCCTTGCTGGTCTTCAGCTGACCTCAGCTCTGTTCTCGATCTCGGCAGGATGACAGAGCTGCTGAGGAATTTCTCTGCCCTGTGCCTAAACCAACCTGCCAGGATGCTCTCTTTAGGCTCAGCACGTTCCTCAGTTACGTCCCTGCCGACTCTCACATGGCCCCGCTTTGTTGAAATATGACCTTCAAATACCAAACCCTGCCCTTAGTAACGTCTCCAAACACTGTCCACCTACGTGCAGATGCATCCGGAAAATGTCTCTCCTTGCCACAGCAGGCTGCAGGCACATGGCAGACCGGTCCCTTCCACACCTAACCTACCTGTATGCTTGATTATATTTGCTGAGCCTGAATGAAAAGTAGTGCCAAACTCCTTTTTTTTCTTTTCTTTTTTTCCTTTGGCTTTGTCAGGCTTGTGTAAGCCTAACTCAAGACTCTGTCCAGATGTTGGTGTGAAGCTACACAGCTGAGCAAACAGCCACTGTCTTCTCTGCAGCATGACATGATTAAAATGACATGCTGGGCCAAAAAGACCAGCTGAAATCTGACAGAGTTAAAGGTTAACATCTTAACTTCAGAGATGGTAAAGTTAGCCTGACCTACAAATGGGCAAAACTCAAATGTTAACTTCAGTGGTGAAATATGAAGATAAATACATACATTTGTTTACTTTAATGATAGTGTAGACTTTAACCTCATAAATCTTCCATGCTGATTATACGTCAGTTAATGTATAATAGTGTCACATATTAAACAGTGTAGACAGTTTTTTGATATCACAGGTTAACCTTTTATCATAAACCCTTAAAACAAAAATGACCCTTTCAAACATTAGTGTATTCATTAGTCAATTTTAAATATAATAAAATACTACTAGTGAAATAATTTAGTAATAATAGTAGAAAATGTGTTCAAAGGCAGAGATACTTTCATCTTGTTTGTGGATTTTTGCTTTTCCCCACCTCAGATTTCACAGTGATTTTGACATTATGTTTTTAGCAAAATACCTTGTCAAATATTAAGAAGATGAAATCTGGGTTAAGATGATTCTAATGTGTTTTTATCCAACACCTCTAGCAATTCAGTTTCATATCAGTTATCAGTTCAAGTGTTATCATCTATCATCCTTGACATTTCCAGTTGTAGCACAAGTTAGATGGCCTTTTTGTTATAAAAATACAGACATTACTTTAAAAAATACAATTTAAAATACATTCACTTTTAATGCAGTGCTATCACCAACACTAAAATTATGCTGTGGTAAAGAATATGCCTGAATAAATGAACAATGTAAATCAGATTGTGAGACTTTGAACCCTTGCACTTAATACAACCATGGCCACGGACTCTTAGTCTTCATTTATTTTTGTCTGTGAGCATGCTGAGACTTTTAAATCTCTGCTGCAGATATCCTCTGCTGAAATAGTCACAGTCTGTAAATATTGTCTCCAAAATTCCTGGACAGACTGAAATGGAGTCGACTTAATAGGAGCAGGGGGGATTTTTTCCAGACAGTTTCAATAACATAGACAATCTATTCTGGCAGGGAAGCACCTTGGCAACTTCCAAACCATTTCAATTGTGTCTAATCTCCCCGGTTCGCTTCTTTTTTAAGCCGAGGCTGAGCTCTGTTCCGTTGCAAATACCCAACATCTGTGCATTTAACGGCGCATACATTGTCTGGGGCCTGTTTTCCAGTGCATCACTCAAAACCACTTCATAATGTACAAAACCTGCACGAGTAAGTAAAAACATCTTTGAATCAGACAAACCATCATCCACTCAAAGCGAACGTGATTGGAGCAGGTTTGCTTTTTTTTTCTTCCGTCACTCATTGCTGTTTGAAACCGTCTACTGCTTGCTGCAAAAACACGGTTGCCTTTAGAAAAAAAAAAAAAGTTCAGCAACACGCTGGACATCCTCCCTGGCATGATGTGTCAATCCTCCCACTCAGACAAAATATCCCAGAGCTATTAAAAACGCCTCATCCCGGACAAGCCCCCGCGCATGTGAGTCAAACCAAAATGTGGTGAATTCTGAGCCAAGAAGGATTTTACAACCCTTTTTTAAAATATGCATCGAAGAAGAGAATTGGAAAAGGCCTCCATTCATCATGCTCTGACTGTGTTTTAGTAGATATGGCAAGGATGCAGAAGATCTTGTGTCTTCACAGAGGTCTGTCAGCAAACATGCCGCCAGCGTCTGCCTGCAGGCCTGTTTGTCTCTGAGGCCGCACACTGAGGATAGAAACTGCTTTAATCCTGCAGTGTGCTTATGAGTTATCTCAGATCTTACATCACAGCTGTTGTCCAACTGTGATGTAAGATCTGAAACTGTCAAAAGTATAATTTATACTACTTTTCATATAGTAAATCAACAGACAATCTTGAAAAAAATCCAAACATATTTTGGCATTTTCTAACATGAAACTTTGATTTGTAATGTAATGCATCAACACATCAGACTATATTTTCAACACTGTTTTATCATGTGAACATTTCCATTCACTCAGTTATACACTAACACACACTTGTAGAAACATACTCATAACATACATCCTTGACAATTTAACATAAAACGAGTATTTGCAGTTTTCTAATATGTCCAAGTTAAAGGATGAGCTGGATGTGGTTGTTTGTTTCCTGTTGTCAACAGATCCCCTGAAAAGATTAAAATGAAGGATTTCTACTAGGCCTTGTCTGTGTTTATTCAAAACCTGATGCATGTTATTCATCTGCTCCCAAGAGCTCCACTGAAAAATATTCTGAGTCACACTCTTTAACCGGCTGACTTATTTCTTCTTTTATCATCAACATGGATGCTGTGGTTTATTTTTACTGGAGTCTTCATTCACTATCCGGCTGCCATAAATACTGCTGTTTGAGTAGTGTTCGCTTACTTAGTGTGCTGCAGTTTTAGAAAATTATGTTTTTTTTAAAGCCACATATATTATACATATGCAGTGTGATCCTATAGAAGGCCAGGATCACACTACACAATAGTCACCCAGTAAGAGCTCAGTCCTGGGACTAAAAATGGGCTGCTTTGACCCATGGGGTGTTTTGTAGTGACCTATTGGAGAATACAACTTCTCTTTGTCTTTGTAAAACCTTCCACCATGTGTTGTGGATCTTCTTCTCAGTTTTGGTTTAGATGTTTTTCCATGAGAATTGTTGACAGTAGCGACGATCTAGAATATCTTTTATGTAAAAACCTCTTAGCATCCACCAGATTGGATGGTGATCTGTTTAGGGTTATGTTTAGGATGTCTCTGAGCCACAGGCTAATAAGCAGGTTTCAGATTCTATCAGTAACCTTTAAGATGTGGTTTCATACATGTGTTCGGACCTTCTAATATAACTAATGTAGCTCCTGTATTATAAGAGGAGCTAACCTTTTTCTTATTTTTTCTTATATACAAGGTATGGTCAAAAAGCTCCAGGAACACTATCATAAAATAACAAAACAAACAAACACAAAAACATACCTGATTTAATTTCAAATTGAAGACCGACTTCCTTGGTGGTACTTGCTGGTAATTAGAATTGGACCTCCAGCTATGACCCAGCAGTTTTCAGTTGAAGCGTCCTAAGTTTCCAAGCCCGATGGCGACACTTCAGGTCAGGAGTGTGACGAGGAGTTTTTGGAGGGGGTTTGGAGGGTGTTCCATGAATTCACCCGTCATGACCAGACTATCAACATGGAGTTCTACAGTAACATCCTAAGTTGTCTACAGGACAACGACAGACGTTATAAAACATCACTACTTTGCCTGTTGGCTCTGAAGCGTCAACCTTAGTGTTTTGGTTGCCATGGTTTTTCAAGCCTGATTTGTAGAGCATTTGATGATATCTGATGTACAGTTTTACAGTGGTTGATATTCATATGATCAAAGTTTCAAATAATAATGTCACTGTATGTGGAAGTACTGTACTCCCTGTGATCCACAAGATCAGGCATCAGACTGCTCTAAATGCGTGGTCAGCTTTTTTCCCCTAATATGGTCGCGCCTAATATATCAGGCTCTGGGTGTGAGCAGACCAACCCGATCCAACGTGATGTTTAAGGAAGGGCAGTCAATCACTGCTGAAATCCAGGGGACCTTGTTTTGAACTGGTAATCACACAAAACTCCTCTAGTAGAGAGGAAGAACAAATTATGGAGCTGACAATGAGCAACATTAAACCTTATCCCTAAAAGAGTTTCCCCAAAAGAGTGGATGTTATAAGGTTAAATAAAACTCTAGATGTTAATAATGTGCACATAATAGTAACAAAAATCTGAAAAAAACATTAACAACGACATCAAATGACAAACAATACACACATTTCAAGCGAGTAAGTAGCACTTAAAGGAAGAAACGTGTCTACGAACAGTACTTGTATTTGTTAAGAAAAACAAACCAAAACATAATTTGTAACCAATCGTAGCACATTTCTAGAAATACACAATCAAGTAATTCTGATGACATCACTAGTTCCATATACAAAGTTTGTGTAAACTAATTTTGCATTTATTCTGAATAAATGCAACCCCAAGACTTCATAGCAGGAATGCAGCTCACCATTACAATACAACATTTTACCAACTGCATAAACCTTTTTTCACTGTTGTCGTTGAGCCTGTGCAGTACAGACGGGGTCTTACTGCCAAACTTCTGCATGTTTCCAGAAAAATTAATATTTCAACCCCTGAAAACAGATAAAGAGAAAATCATTAAGCATTAGGAATTAGAATAAAATATATTTGATATAGCTTTGATGCAACAACCTGATAGTTTTCACTAAAACATTTCTGGGAAATGTCCCAGATTTTTGGAACCACTAATTTAAACTAATTTGGATAACATATATAAAGAGACATCTCGTGTTGACTAAATCTGAAATATTTACCAAATGAATCATTCATTCCAGTTCAATAAAGGGAATGTGGTGTTTAAAATGTCCAGAGTACAAAAACACAGCCTACAGTCACATGAAAAGGAAAGTGTTTGCAGTACGAGTGCAGTCCTGTGAAAACCTAAGATACAAACCTAAGATGTGCTTTCATCTTTTTTTCTTTTTGGTTTCTTCTTCTTCTTCTTTGTTTAAGAAAGAAGAGACTTTCTCCTGTTAGCCCTTCCAAATAAACCATGTTCAATCTTTTTTCAAAGTGGTGTTGTGAACTTTAATCTTTTAAATGCTGTGTGGCCTGTAGAGTCGGAGATGCAGCCGTCTGTTTTTTTGCTGTTTCTCTGAGAATTGCAGTCTGACCTTGAATTTGCTGAGATGTCAACTTCTAGGAAGATTGTGGCACTGGGTTAACACAGACTAACAAACTGACAAAGCTTCTGCTTGCTCACACTTGCTGTTGATCAGTTAATCAAATCTATTCGATTAGCAGCACTTTAGCTGCTACTTACCTTCCTAATTCTTATGAAAACAGGGTGGACTTGGTTTTTCACAGGACTGCACTGAGCCCTCTAAAAAGCATTGTTTTTCACTTGAATCTATGCTACGATCATGCTCAGAGAAACCCTCTTATAATACCTCGTTATTCGACAGTTGCGTGTCTGAACATAAACGCCTGTGTAAGTAATATCACATCTCACTACGTTGTTGTTGAAGTCTGACTCCAGGATGTGGAAATTGGGATTGACTGTAACCTGACAAAAAAAATACATAAATCATGAATAAATTCTGTAGCAGGAGGTTATAAACATTTATTTCTGTGTTGTGAAATACACATACAGAGAACGAACATGTGACACACCTTCAAGATGTAGTTTCCTGGAGGCACATCAGTGATGTCAATCCACTGACAGTCGATGTTGGCAGCGTAGATGTCATGGCAACCTGGGCTCAGACCCTACAAAACACAGTCACCTCAGTGAGGTTTTATAACTTGAACAGGCGCACGCATATCTGTCATAAGAAAGCATTAACCTTAAACATTATATAGAGTCAGAATCACAGAGCTCACACAAAAGATACGATAAATATTCCTGTGGCAACAGGATGTTTAGTTTTATTGGAATAAATGTTCTAGTTAGAAAAACATTTCTCTGAAGTGGATTTGGAGGATTTGCAAAAGACAAAAAACACAAAAGCATCTTTATTTCTAATGTGATAAACTAAACAGAAGGATCAGAAGTCTGCTGAATAGCTTATGAACTTTTTTCCATTGTTACATATTTTTCTTTTTTTCTGTGTGTGTTATTTTATTACTCAGCCTCTCATTTCAAATACCTCCTCCCGTTTCTCCTGTTTGATTGCGTGCTCCGCCCTAATGCGTCCCACTGCCTCTAACTGTCTTCCCTGTGTATTTAAGCTGTATGTCTTCCCTTTTTTCCCTTCCAGACTGTCTTAGTGTGCACTTTGCTTTCCAGCATGCTCTTAATGAGTGCTGCCTTGTGTTTTCTACCCAGTTCTGTTTCCTGGTATCTGGTTTAGTCTACTCCTCGTGCTTTTGTCTGATGGATTCATCACCTGCACATCAGACTCACTTTTACCTCAATAAAGACTCGTATTTTCTCCTAAAGCTCTTCATAAAAGTATCTGAGCCTTCAGAATAATGCAAATGAACACTTGCAGTTGTTTTCCTATTGAACTACTTTAAAAAGTCCTACTCATTCTTACTTTTCTTGTTTAGCTCTTATTTGCTATTTAAAGTGGGTCTCCACTGATTTTACAGCTCAAGTATATTTACTCATCATGGTGAGTGGCTGTGAACACAGCTGTTTAATGTCGTCTGTGGCTGTGAAGGAGCTTTGTAAAATAAATGGCGAGAAGCCTGCGAGCCAGTTCAGTCAACTCAAGCAGCATTGCTTCAGACACACGTGACATGTCTCACTTTCCTCACATCACCCTCCCAATTTGGTGGTTTGTTTAAGCTTCATAATTTGCAATCTCTGTCCTGCACTGCTGCTCCTTCCACTTCCTTAAAATCTGCCTGTGCATATCTAAGTATCAGTAGTGTCCCGGAAGTGTGTAAGTGCTGTGCACAGCTTTACAGATCCACATTGTCAGGGGGCAGGGTCAAAACTCTGTAGAGGAACCGGTGAGCTACTTTACATGTTTTTGCTGTTGGGCCTGATGCACTCATAGTATACAAAGAATGTGTCTGTACCGGAGTTACTGTAGTTTTTTAATTTGTTTTTTATTTTTATTTCGATTTGATATGGGTTTTTTTTTCAGTTTCTTTACAGAGTGAGTTTTCATATTTCATTTTAGTTAGTAAAATTTTAGTTTTAGTTTAGTTTTTATTAATTTCAGTCATAGTTCTAGTTTTGTTTTTTAATTTTCATTGCATGGAGAGAGGCAATATTTAGGAAAATCAATGCAATACAAATACTGACTTACAAATACTTGTAGACATTCAGAGCTTCAGTAAATGCCCATCAATGCCTCTTCAGGCATTAATCAAAGTAACAGATACTAAAACTAATGATGTTTTCTCTACATTTACATATTTTATTGCAGTTAGTTTTCCAAGTTCGCAAAATCATTTCAGTCTGCTATTTTTTTTTCAAAAGTCTAGTTTTTATCTATTATTTTATTTTATTTATTTATATTTATCGATGATGGGTTTTTTTCTTGTTTCTCCTTCAGTTTATTTAGCCAGTCAGCTTTCTACGGTTAGCGACATCATCTTTGGGCTGCAAGCCGTTGGTTTTCTGGAGGACTTCGCATAAATGTGTCTGTGTAGTCTCTGTGCTGGCTGAATTGTGTGAAGTTAGAGCTTTGGATGGATGTTTCACAGATACGTGAAGCCATAATTCCTGCATTACTCATCACTTTCAGGCTTTTACATGTAACAGATTTGCAGGGAGAGTATATTTTTCTGCTGCTGTAATAAATCATTTTACACCCGGCTTGTCTGATTGAGCTGATCTCACCATGAACTTGAAGACCTCAAATATACCAGAATCCTGGAGAGTCCAATGCAAAAAAATGTGTTTATTTAGTCAAATACTGCTTGAGTTTGGCACAAAGGTGGTGATAGTTGGTATATAGCAAGTCTCTACTGCTGTTTTAGTCTTTACTTTACAGGGTAGTTCAGAGAGCAGAGAGTGGGGGAACAACACCCAGGAAATAGCCTGAAGCAAATTAGACTTCAGCCTCCATGCTTCACCTGAGGTGCATAGGTCAGCGATAGCAGTAGCTTTACATTTAAATTTAAGTGCATGTAAAAGTATCTCCGTCACGAATCTCTTTTTACCAGATCGGGAATGATGCATCTCATCTCAACTTTAAACCTTCACTTCACAAAGATCTTAAGACTTTGCATGTCTACTGCTGACCTATCCCACAAAGTTATGGAGGGTTCTTCCTGTTAAAAAAGACTTTATCTCCACACTGCCCTCAAATGAAGTTGGGCTATGAAATCTTGCGAGAACTGTTGTAAATCCGCAAGCATTCCGACTCAGAAAACAAATAGGTGGATTAATGTTTTAAATAAAATTAAACCTAACTGAACTGAGCGTCTTCTTTCTTTATCTTTTTCCTCAGCTCTCGTGTAAAACAGATATCAATCCGTGCAGCGTTATATCACATAACAGATGATGGTGTGTTACCTGCGTATGAGCTGTACAGGCGTAGCGTCGCCTGAATCCAGGATCACAGTTCGTGTCCTCCAGACAGAAACTGGCCTTGTGTCCCTCTGCCACTTTACGTCCTGTGATAACATCCAGCAGATCGTAGTTGCTGAAGGCGTCCATGCTGTGGTAGTGTCTGTGGGTGCAAAACAGATGGAAAAGAATCAATAGCGGATATTTTGTTATGGCTCAGGAATGTCTAAAAAACCCGCAATTTTATTGTCTTAAGTGAATTTTGAGGGTTTGGTGTTCTTCCTAGTTTGTCATATCTGAATGGCTAATCCCTTTTTAAAAAATTGTTTTTAAGAAAAAGGATTTAGGAGTCATCAAACTCACTGGTGACAGCTGTGCCAGTCCCACTGATATCTGGGCTTGAAAGGGAGGAAGTCAGCGGTGCCTTGGTTCTTCACTTTCTGTGGAAACCGCAGGAGGACTCTGAAGTTGATGTCTCGCACAGTGGGTCCATAAGCCGATCTTGGATGAATCACAGGAGAAAAAGGCGTAAGCTGCATTGGAAAAGTGCTACTGGCTGAGCTCCCAGGTCTAGTTTTCTTAAAAGTAACAGAGCGCAAAGGGTTTGTTCCATTGTGCTTAATGCTTTTGGGAAAACCAAACCAGAACATTTATGTCTTGGCAGGACATGATGTTGGACAGTCATGTTGGACAATCATTGCTACGTAATATGATCAAATGCTTTTGTAACTCGCTTAACAAAACAGTTATCCCAGCATGCTTAACAGCTTACACTGGCATAATTGAATGCAACCCTAAAACAACTAAAGGTTGTTCTTAAGTACGTAAAACGGATCCCCACTAAGAAAAAACAAAACAAAGGACATAAGTATGCGTGTCTGCCTCAGTGTCTACATGCTGCTCTGTTCATACTGAAGAAGTGAATCACTTCTGGCACCTCAGATTACCTGGCCAGACAGTTCTCCTCAGCCGCACAGCGAAGCGCGTACATCTGCATGCGCTGGACATAGGTACCTGCTTGGATGGCATATGGGTCTGGCACAAGGTCTGGCAGTCCTGTTGGGAGGAGATTAAATGGACAGTCCAAGTTTTTTTTTTCCCTCCTGACATCTTAATGTTCCCAACTTATTCAGGCTGAGAATAATCCACAGAAATAGACACCCTGAAAATGTAAGCTGCTTTGTGTTTGTTGGCATAATTTAACATGTTTCACATTCCTTACAGCTCCAAAAGCCAAATAAGACTTTTTTTTTTCTCTCGCTCCTTGGCTTTTTGTTTAAGGTGAGACATAAAGTTATGAAAATTGTCCTTAAATAATCAAACAAGCAGATGATTTTAAATATAACAGTGTTTTTGTGTGTCCATAGAACCGTTACATGAATGTAAAGCCAGTAATATTCATGCCAAATAATGGATATAAAGCTGTTTTAAAGTAGTGGCCAAATTAACACTAAAACAGGTTTTGCTTGCTGGAATTGTATTATTTTAAAATATTGATCACAGACACAGTTTCTTAATCCACTCTTAATTTTAATAATTTACATTGCAAATCTATCCATTTGGCTAACTATATGAAATATAAAATTTGAAGAACAGCTAACAAATATCAGGGATGTCAAACTCGTTTTACATCGTGGACGTTCATGTGAAGTGGGCCTGATCAGTGAAACGAAATGATTAAGGTGTAAAGGCTCTGTCTTGTTATCATAAATTTAGAATATAAAGTTTTCATTAATTCACAGAAAATGTACTTTTATGTATTTTTAATGGATCAATAGCAAAAACTGTAAAACTTAATAAATTACTCTTAAAAGTTCAAAATCTGAACTATCCTTTACACCGTCCCGTGGGCCAGACAGAGGCCTTATGTCTGACACCCCTGATCTACATAATCTGACTTCTCTAATATTATATAAATGGAACACTTGACCTACCGTTTTGGAAATATCCTGTGCCGTACCCTGTGCCAGGCGGACGGAGGGTGCGGGCCGCTGACCTCCCTCTGGTCGGATACATGTTGTAGAAAACAGAATTCCTGTGGTTTTTAAGCGGGTTTCGAGGGTCGTCATTGACCATGTCCTCTCCATTGCTGTTTTCCTCAGTTAGTGCAGGAAATACAGCCGGTGCCTCAGACTCATTTTCCAGACCTGACGGGTGTGCTGAGATGAAGCGATCAGTCTGAGCAGGTTGCCTGGAGACAGGCGTCACCTCCGGCCCCGCGCGTAACTGTTGGTTTTGCGCACCAGGTCCGGATTCACCTATTCTAGTATGTAGTGCGGTATTATCCACAGTGACAGAACCTCCATTACCGCCAGAAAAATCTGTTGAACTCCCCGGTGAAGAGGCGTTCGTGGTTCTGATGAATTCACCATTAAAATGGCGTGCGCCTGGATGTCTTACAACTGCTGCTGTAGGGCGTTCAAGTCGCTGTCTGAACCCTGACGCATGACGATTCACGGGCGCATACGGTCTAACATCGTGTCCAGGTGTGAGAAGTCCCGACTGTGCACTGTTATCAGTCCTGAACTGTCTGGAGTCATTTGGTCCGGTTCTCATAAGCGTCATTCTTCTGCGCGCTCCAGACATCTGGCTCCCAGTACCATCCCTCCGACTGCTCACGTAAACCCTCGACTGGCTGGTGGACCGATACGGAGCCTGGTACTCCAGCCCAGTGCTCATTAAACTGTAAACCTGCCCGTTGTTCTCCCATTGAATCCGGTGCCGCCAGGGGCCAACCGTGCGCTGCTGCCCAAAGCTGAGGGGGAGTAGTCCTTGGAAAATATATAAAAATAAAAGTGATCGTTTAGCCATGGCAATTAAACTTAATAAATTAAAGCCTACGTGTAAGTTAGCAAACATCACGTAAGTTTGCGGGCACAGACGTTGAAGCTTCGTGGAGAATGGATTAAAATCGGCAGTGCGCTTCCAGTTTCAGCTCTGACACAAAACAACATAGCACTTCTCAGGAGGACTGAGAGATGGAGAGGAGAGGAGGGCTGAATCCTTTTTTCCCGGCTCGTTTGTCGAATTCAGTCCAGTTACTTTCACTAAGTCAAGCTTCTAAAGAATTTAACCCATCCCTTGCTGTGGTTACGTGCGGTTAGACAAGTACGTTTGCTGAGTAAATTTCACGCAAGGGTGTAAACTTAACTCAGCCAAATGCATCACCTCGAGCTGGTAAAGCTCAGGGAACACTAAAGAACACAAAAGGATATGAGTTGTTGTGTTTAAGTAATATTTTTTGTTGAGCAGAACTTTTTTATTTCAATATCACTCCTTGTTATTTGACACGTTGCGAAAAAGCTAAAGATATCTTTATATGGAGTTAAAAAATCACGCACGACCAGTTTATCAAGCTAAAAAAAAACAAACAAAAACGAACAAAAAACAACAACAACAAAACAACGATAACAGTTGACAGTTTCAAATGAAACATGAAGACATGCAACAATCTGGAAAAACTTCACATTGCGTAAATAGTCTTATTGACCACAAGGTGGCACTTTGTATCTGTATCAGACCATCCCAGTTTGCAGTGCCCTAACAGCTATCACGGAGGGAGCCCGTTCCCATAAAATATGTCCATCTTTTCTTTTGTCATTTATGACTATAACTCTTTTTTAAGGCTAGCTGCACAGGTTTTAAACACGCTTCTGTTTGTTATGCTCAAAGGTGTTTCTTTGGGGATTTCTTTTCAAAGCCTAACAATGGTCAGTGCCTTCATTGTTCAGCTATACCTTTTTTAAAAAAAATCAATATATTACCAAATAAATAATACAAGCAAGCTATTATGTTTAATCTGATTCCAGATTTAAATCCTACATAATATAAATATATTTTGCATCTTTTCTGTTTTATTACAGATAAGACTATGATCTGTCTTTACAAATTTTTAACCCACTCTTTAAAAACAAAATACAGTTCATTTGCCCTTATCTGGAGCAGAACAGTATCATGTATATTTAGCTGAAACTGCACCACATGGTATTTGAAAGTGAGGTGGAGATTTTATCGCAAGGGGTTAAAGTTAGGTTTAAGATGGAGCGGAGTGTTGTGTAACAGTGTGAAGTTGGCTCGATGGGTCTGCAAGGCTACAGTTGGACCTGATAGTAGCTGTGTTCGACACACAAGCTGCTTGGGTTCAAGCTTAAACACACGTTTGGTGTATACTATTATACCTTGTTTTTTAATTAAGTGTGCCAGAAATGCTGGCGTCTCCCACTGCTGCTCTGGACTTTCTGCCCCACGATGCTCTCTGCCAGCTACACAACAGCAGAGCCTGAAGGTAAGCAGGTCAAAGCTAAAGGCACAATGTTAAGATTGTTACGATGAGCTAGTATGTCCCAATCACATTGTATGAACTGCTATAACAGTTTTGAACCTTGTGAGAGGATCTGTAGTAAGTACTGAAAGAAAAACATCAGTCTGCTATTAGGAGCTCAACAGCTGTCTTAAACACCAGCAATTACAAGACGCAGTGACTATGCACAATAACAAAACACTGTCTTGTTCCAGACAAGTCCAATATATTAAAATGATTATATAAGTCCCGTTTCATACTCCCTATTTTTTAAACTACAGTAAGAAAAACCACTCAGCAACACAGAAAGTGGGAAGAAATTAGAGAACCAAAAACAAGAAAAAGCACAACAAAAGCAACAGACATACAAATCTTATAATGGACGTTTGTGCTGCTGTGTTAGTTCCCTTTAAGCCAGACGTTTTCTGATTGGCTGTCCCATGCAAACAGAAGGTGTGAAGTTTTTGGCTCACAAGAAGTTCCTTTCTGTCTACCCTATATTAGAACTTTATTGTTTTTTGTAATATTGTGACAGAAAAAGGGAGAGCACAGTACTTTCACACATTAAAGAAAAAGCATTTTTAAAAAAAAAGAACAGGGACATAAATACAGATAATACTTCATTGTGACAAACAAATATACTTTGATACTTTCTTTTACTGCGTGTCTTAAGTTTTAAACCTGAAAATTAGCTGAGAGTTTGATTAACATCAGCAGGATCTTTTTTTCAGGTAAGGTATGAGTTAGATATGGGTCACGAACAGGTTAAAAGACACTGACATATGGAGAAGTGCTGCTGAAGTGTCGCAGTATCTTTCCTCTGCCAAAAAGGGCATCGAGATGGTGAGCCTTCATGCTTTTCTATTCTTAGCTGGAGAAACCTTCTCTCTTCCAAAGTCTGGCACCGCCCCTGCATCTAGATTTATAAGAGACGCAGATCCTCGGCACTGGTTTGGCACAAGACTTCCCGAGCAGGACAAGTAACCCACAAAATGTAGCCAGTAAGTATTCATGTTGAATTAAGTCTTTCTTGTGTGTCTGAACTGAAAGTAAACAAATCACGACAAATGCTGCCACAAAAACTAATCTGTGACTGTGAATTGGGAGTGCTTGGAAATAAAAAGAAACAGTTTCTGGTTGTTTTCATGGTACACCTACAGCAGCAGCAGCAGATCCTTCCCCGGGTGACTAATTCTTTTACACTGAATATATCTTATCCCGTGAATCTAGGTATCCAGGGCTGCTCACAGCTTTGCTTCTTGTTAAGGAAGATGATGGTCTTAAAATGGTTTTACCACAAGAAACTTCCCCTACATGGAATATACCTGTTGCTTTCCCCTGAGGCCTCACACTGCCACTCTGAGGAGTATAATGATAGATCCAGAGGGTTTACCACAGATCATGGGGAGACAATACAGGTGAGATACTGAAAAAAAAAAATGCTTGAAAAATGACATTTGTTAGTAAACTGTTTTGGGTTCTGCGCTCATGTGGATGTTTAATGCCTGTTAAAGCAAAAAGCTTTAAATAAAACAAGTTCCTTTTTTTAGTGTAACCTGAAATAAAATGCTTCAATGTCTAGTGGAAGATTAATTATAGGCTGTCGGAGCGGCAGAGCGTCAGCTTTCTTGTGAAACGCTTCTTGCTTATCTTTGATTAACCCTTGGCACAAATCAGCCCGTCAGCGCTCCTCACATTTCATCAGTGAGACACATGCTGCTGCGTCCATCGTCACGTTTTCATTCATTCATTCACACGTGGCGATTTGTCTGGTGAACTTTTGATATGTAACCTATTAAAAACTGCCTTAATGTGACCCCGGGCCAAAAACTTTGTGTTTTCAAGGTTAAGCTTGTCAGAGTCCTTTTACTTTACTGAGTGGTTCCATTTTTACAGTTTCACTCAACTTTGTTTCATTTAAAACTTAAGATGTGAATAATTTTCCACATTTGGATCATTTGTTAAAATATTCAGTGTGATGTGTTGTAATAAATTAAACAAAACTCTATAAAAGCAGCAAAAACAAGCTGCAACATTACAGCCAATAAATAATATACATGCCTTATATCTAATACATATATAATATATATTGATTTATTATGGGCTAATCTATATGATGAGCATGTTTTTTAACTTGGTGCTGAAACTTCTGTAAGTTTAAGAAAAGTTTCCAAAACCTCACTGTAGTATACCAAAGTACTTAAAGGTTGAGCGCTGTTATACATTTTTATGTTTGATGATCAAATCACATTTTTAAAAAACATATTAATAAATGAATCTTGTGTTTACTTGTAAAAATAAACGATCAGCCATGTGGTGTATTGTTTCAAATAATTAACAATGAGCAAGTCAATGAAAATCCAAAACTACATTAAATCACTCTTGTGTGGTACATGTAAAGTATTAAAGACTAAACTATTGAATTTTAGCCTGTTTATGTTAACTAAACAATGTGTCTGCTCCTGAGTAGGTGGAGTGCTCCTCTGCTGGGAGGGTCAATTTGCACTAATTGTGCAGTTTCTAATAGCAACTGTCAGTCATTAATTCATGGAGTGTACAATCATGTGAAAAAAGATTGTTTTCACGGGATTCAGTGCAGTCGTGTCAAAAAAAACAACAACTAAGTGTACTTACTTCTTCCATAGGAATTAAGAGGGTAATTAGCAGCCAGGTGCTGCTAATCAAATGCACTCGATTAATATTCCTCAGGAACTCTGAGCACCTCTATGAAAGCAGAGGTTTGGCAGTGGACATCTTTTCTCAGGAGTGGACATCCCAACAAATTCATTACAAGCCAAAAAACCCCAAAGAGCAAGAACTCAGACTCTACAGGCTTCAGTTAGCATGTCAAATGTTAAAGTTCACAATGGAAAAATTAGAAAAAGAGTGAACAGCTGTTGTTTGTTTGGAGGATTTTCTAGTTGAAAGCGTCTTCTCTCTAAAATGAATATGGCACAACAGTTTAGATTTCAAAGTTGCATCTGAACAAACCACAAGAATTCTGGGACGATGTCCTTTGGGCAGATGAGACAACATCGGAGATGCTTGGGCAAAATGCAAAGCACCATGTTTGGCAAAAACCAAGCAGAGCAGGGGTTGATGATTTCAGCTTGTATTGCAGTCACATGACTGGGGCATCTTGCAGTAAATGAGTCGACCATGAAGTGTTCTGTATACCAAAGTATTCTAGAGTCAATGTGCAGGTGTCTGTCTCACAGCTAAAGACTGACTGAAACTCCCAAGCACAGCATAAAATCTACAACAGGATGGATGAAAAAGAGAGGAAATAAGGGGTTACAATGGCCTGGTTAAAATCCAGACCTCAACCTGACTGACATGCTGTGATGGGACCTGTGCATAAACAAATACCTGCAAACCTCAATGAACTGAAGCAAAGAACAGTGAACCAAAATTCAGATAAACAGAAAGTCACTACGTCAAGTTAATGAAGTTTTACTTCAAGTTATTGTTGTTAAAGTTGGTTCTACGAGTGACTGAATAACAGGGTATGGTTCGTTTTTCACACAACTGCATAAAGTCCTGCGAAGCTTTCTTTTACACAACTGTTTTTCCTCCTCACTTGAGTTAATTATCTTCTGCTGCCAGGATCATTTGTTGGTATCAGGTGGGTCGAGTTTCTAATAGTTGCTGTCAATAACACACATACTGCTGGAGGACAGGACCAGAATACAGTCATGTGTGTATTTTGGCCTAAGACCAAAATACGCATATGACTCTATTATGGTCAGTCATGTGTTTGACTGGCAGAAGAAGTCATGCAGATTAAGCTAACATGCACTTTCAGCACAAAAGCCTAAATCTTTATTAATTCATCACCTTTTCATAGAGATATTTAACATTACCCTTTAATACTTGCTGTGTCTGCAGTTCTTTATGTTATCGGCTATTACAAAAATGACAAATCAGTTGAAGATCTCCAATTAAACATTTAATATTTTATAGTAACTCACAAAAATTTGTTTGTTTATCACCTACAGTTCAACCTTGTGGGATCCGTAAGTAAGTATGGAGGTGGGTTTATTAATTTAAAGGAGCTTAAAAGTTATTTGAAAATATTTGAAATGTTTTAATCCCCGCTTATTGTTACACGTGTAAGTCATATGATAGACCAGAACTGATTCAGTTGTTCATACATGTTTGTCTCAGTGAGCCACCAGAAATTTTCCTGTCATTCATTCACTGGTGAAACCACAACTGTTCACATACCTCAGGGGTCCTCGTTCTCTCATACAGAGGCTCTGCTGAGCTTGTGACAGCCAGTCATCTCCTGTGTCACTGCCTCTCCACCCTAATATGGACACCCCGGCTCTTTATTTGGGGGTTTCCATGGCGTTGGGGTGACGTGGGAGCACATGCCACGTATCGAGGTTCTCACCTTACTGGGCGGTTGCATGAAGGCAGATAGCCCCTGAGTCAGACCGGGCTGCGGAGCCTCGAGTGGGTGTGTGGCAATAAGTGATTTCTGTAGGCATGCTAAATCTATTCCCCTGACACCTCAGGCACTTAGCCTAAATATAAACTAACAGAGCAGCTACCCCCTGCTGCAGGCCAACGCTGGCATGTGAAGACTCCAAGAAACGAATCACAAGACCCTGAACTCTCCCCGACACACCCTCTGTGGATCTGCCAAGTCCAGGGACAGAGCTGGCTGGACTTTTCTCACAGTAATGTACAGTATGAGTAAACTTTTTGACCAAAACCTTTATCCAACACTGAGCTATTGAACTGAGTATTGCTATTGTTGTCACTGGCCCCTTACAGCAGAAATTGTCCATTTAATGGTTTAAAAATGATTCTGTGTCATCAGCTGGAGTAATTAGAACCCCTTATTGTAACCATATAATTCATTTTGGTGCTTGATATTAAAATATCAATAAAAGTGAAAATGCATTGCTCAGTGTCTCCCCTTGTTTCTGTCGGCTGAGGCCGGGGATTGTGCTATGTGGGTGACTCTAAAGGACTTTGAAGAAGTGCAGACATGGTTCACACTGCTGCTTGTTGAAGCTGATGCCAAAAATGAAAGATTTGCTCCTTTATTTCTGTAGGAGTGTTACAGAATAGGTGATAGAGAGGTCGTGTAATGTTGCTGGATGGGGTGTTGAACACCTCTGGGAAGCATATTGAAGTTTTCAACCAGCCTACCTCTCAGTGCTAAAGCTTTAGCACGACCTCCTGGTGGGCTGTGACCTCTAAGAGTAGATGTAAGCGAGAAAATCATTTCCCCATCAGAGCTTACAGAAATATCACGCTGTTAATTTCACAAGAGCCTTAGAGGGAGACACTGTGTCTTGTTAAGTGCTCACTGGTTGAAGCTGCCGCTTCTTCTCTCCAAGACTACGTAAAGGATTTCTTGTTATAAGCAGTAGAAGAAGATGGTGTGCAGGTTTCTCTGAATGAGGATCAGAATGACTCTGAATAAACCTGAGAATGTCTGAAGGACTTCTCTGTGTTAATTATTATTTTCTACATTAATCACCAAAATTATACACACTATGAAAAATGAGCAACGTGTGTGGGACAAATCATTCAGCTTAGTTACACAAATAGATGATTAAAAGTAAAAGACCTTTAATGAGTATGACTGAGTTTATCATATTATATATGTTTGTTCACCATGTTCTTAAATGCATGAATGCTCCAAGTACATTTAATATATTGCTTTATCAGAAGTTTTGAGATAAAAAGGAGGCAGGTCTAATAAATAACTTTTCCCTGAAACATTTCAATTCCTGTCTTTCAAAGGGGAATCAGCCACTCCTACTATTGTGGAGCACTAAATCTTATCTATATGATAAGAAGGCTCATTCAAGTGCAGCCAGATGTTAGGTTTGTGCCTCAAAAGAGGAACTACGCGGATGTGTGTTTGTTTCATGAGATACAGAAGGAAGAAAAACAGGAAACATGAAGTGGTTTCAGTGGGGTTTTAAATCAGGAGACAAAAATCCTTCCAAACAGTGAGACTTTGTTTTTATTTTTTTTTAAATACAGCAAGACCAAAGTTACTGGTGTTTAAACACTGGGCGGTCCAGAGGTGGCTTATCTTTGTTAGAAAAACAACAGTTACAGAGGATTATACAAAACGCAGCACTTCTGCCATTAGTTCTTCATATCTTACATGATTATCTATTTACAAATCAGGCTTAGAGCTACTGAACGGATGTTATACATTTACTCAGATTTCTATATTTACAAGTTTATACACAAATCCGCTGTTAGACCCGTTCTGCTGTAAGGAGAGAGAGAGAAATGCGAAGTTAGCCACACTGAATCAAATGATTTTACTGATCTGTCAGTGAAAATGTCCAAGATTTGATTTTTTTTTATTTACCTATAAGCTGTTTAGAAGGGAGTTGTTAATGGTTTCATACACTTTGTTGTAAATCTCTTCCTTTGACGTCATCCCATCAAGGTACTCTGCACAGAAATGAAAGGAGTATGAGAGCATTTCTGCTCACTGGTTGGTGGTTAAATAGGTTTTTTAGATCTGTGGACAGGCTTATGGATGAATGCGGGGATGCAGAGTCTCATTTATATTTCAAGAGGAAAAGCACTTGCTTTACAAACCTATTCTGTCGCAGTTGTCCTCCATCTCTTTCCTGTGTTTCAAGTACATGGGCCAGACGTGGCCATCGAACAGGCCGGCTGGGTCAGGGACCGTGTATGTCCTTGTACTGCAGAGAAAAAGAGATCAGTGTGGGGTTGTTGTGTTATTAAAGGCTGTGCTGTGGTGTCCAGCTCTTAAGGGGATTCTGGTAAAGTCACTACAGGAGCTTGTTACCTTCTCCTCCTTTTGCACTCCTCATAAGGAATGGAAATGTAGAAACATTTGTCATAGACATCAATAAGAGGCCTGCGGAGAAAGCAGAGGTCAGATTACTCAAAAGCTTTAGAGGTCAGAAGGTCACAGTTTAGAAAAAATGAGTAAGGTCCTGGGAAGCCCACTTGTAGTTGTAGATGAGGAACCCCTCCACGATGAGAATGTGGATCCCCTTCTCCTCAGAGCCGGCTTCTTCGGCTTCAGGTGACAGGCTCACGCCGTGTGAGCGGGCAAACTTGACGGGGTTCTCCTGCCAGCCTTTGACAGTGTTGATCATAGCCTCCATGTCCAGAGCGGTGATCACTGATACAGAACAAGTAGAGAAAAGAGAAGAGCACGTTTTACCACACACGAAACCAACACTCCTCACCAATGTGCTTTAACACACATTAGTCATGGTTAGTGAATGTTTCTAGCATCCACAGAATATTTGATTGAACATCACAAAGTTTAGGATTGATTGGTTACCAAACTACAGAAATGTGCAGGAAAGAAAGAGTACATTACTGCATGGTTTTCTTACGCGAAATCCATTCTTACCATCCCACTGTCTAAAGCCGTCCTCCCCGACTTCTATTTGATCGGGTTTCTGAAATAACAGTCACCAATAAAACATTGCTGCAACCTAGTAACCAGTCGGAACTGATCACACCTGGACAGGACAAGTCAAGGACTCGTCTCCACCAAAAGTGAACACACGGTGACGGCTTTCGATGTGGCTGAATTCGCTTCCCAACGTTAGGCTTAGAAAATCTGACAATTTTTTCATCAAATCTTAAAACTATTCTAAAAGGTACTAATGCTTGTTGTCGCCTCATCTTGATAGTGAAACATGCTTTGAGATGGAATATCATGAGTCTGCGAAATAGAGATTCTGATTTGTCTTCAAAAGGCTTAAAAACATTTAAGGGGAAAGTTTAAGAAAAAGGCTTTCGACGTCAGTCATCCTTTACTGACTGTGAGTGGATCATGTAAAGATGGGTGTGGTAGATGTAAGACCTTCTGGCTTCTTTTACTCGAAGTGAGGTTTAAGTCTGACTTTAAGTGGGGACGCTCAGCCCTTTCATTAGCTGTCCAGGAGACAATCAGCCAAATGCATTACTAGACTACTGCCATGACAGGACATCTGCAGGTCAGACTGAGGGTTTATTTCTGAGCACAAAATGTCTTCAAGGACAAATTATAAAGCAGCAAATGACATATGAAAAATAAAAATGCCTTGCACTAACTCAACTTTAATGACATTAAATTATTACTTTAGCTTTCAAGTTTACTTCAAATGAGAAAAAAATAAAATACTTTCATGCATCTTACCTTGAAAAAGTCATCCTGATGCACCACACAACAGTTGGGTAATGTCTTTAGTAGTCTATTTGTCAGAGTGGTCTTCCCACCGTTGGTCACTCTGAAATGGGTGCCACTTAGTTTTATTTTCTCTCAATTTCCATAAATAAACATCTATACATGAATACATATATATATATAAAAGACTTACCCTCCTATGCCAATGATGAACTTCATTTTTTCTTATTTCTTTTCTGTATTGGTCACCTCTGGAATTCAGTAAATAAAAGCAGGGAACCCAGCCAAAGCAAACACTCTCTCAAAGGCTTCTACTGAAAACCTTTCCCTTCTCCTCCTCCACAAATGTCCCCTCCTTTTACTACTTCATTGATAGACAAAGTCTTTGCCGTGCATTTAAAGGATTTGGCTTCAGTGTCACAGCCTCCCAAACCAATCAGCGTGCTTTGTCTCGTAGCCAATAAGGTGCCACTTCACAGTCCACGGCACCAATGATGGGGCAGGACTCGGGAGCCTCACAGCTTCGTGAAAGCAAAGCCCATAATTTGCACCTGCTCTGAGGAGTCAGTGAACACCAGCCAATCTAATGCACGAATAATCCCACACCCAATACACGTCTTAAAAAGATAAAGAAAATAATATGAGACTAAGGTGTGTGCCACGGTCGTATGTAGTGCCTCAAACAGGAAGCTGTTTGTTTTGTTCTAAAATTTGGGATGTATTCTTGCAAAAACTGAAAAGCTTTCCCATTTAAAAGTAGACTGTGATTTACATGCAGAGGACATTTCTCATAAAGGAAGAAACTATATAGCAAGGGTGTAGACTGTAAAAATCATTAAAAATGTAATATTGTGTGCATATATATATATATGTATATGTATATACACACATATATATATATATTCCAAACAATCTGCATCACAGCATAGTGTGGAACTTGTGATTTTAAGGGGGAATTTTCCATGCATAGACAGCTCTGGGTAAATGAAAACCAGGAGCACTATATTTAACTGGCTGTGTCTGACTGCTGCGTCACGAATATTTCTGATGCAACTAGTTGGAGTAAATGGCAGCCAGCCATGTGACCACAGTGTCTCGAGCTACAGGTGTGATAAACCACGGCTATTTCTTTGAAGTTAAGCGCCCGCTGCTTATCAACTCAGATTGCCGCACATTCCCGGATGTGTGCGGAATAAACTCGCGTTCATTTTGTTTGCACAGTATTTGAGCAATCTATGTTACTACTGCGCTTTTCTTTGTTGGTGTAGGAAGGAGTTGAACTCTGACCTGGAGATACAGGAGCACGTGGTCTTTTTGCCAGGAAAGTCTCAGTGGAAAAGTGATGCCTCACACTAAGTTACTGACAGGTCTTATGTTGTGTAGTAGTTTGGCGTTAGTAAACAGAAAATGTTACGTACACGTAAGAACCTGGAGAGTACAAATCTGTTCCATATAGGGGATCAAACCATCTGGTCTAGCACAGGGAAGCATGTGGTGCACATACGTTTTCCACCCTGGAATCAAAAGACAGACTTACCTTTGCTCTCAGTCTAAATTTGGCTTTTTAAATATATGTCCATACGCTCGTTACCAGGGCTTATACACCGGAAGACAAAAAGGCAGATTCTTGTCTGCATGTCTGTAGAGCTGTAATAAATATTTTAGTTTAACTCAGCAGAGACAAGCAGCTAGTCTGGTTGCACAACATTAGTAAATAACCAGATCTGCAATGCCTGTGTAGTTTCAAGATGTACAAAATAAAATAAAAAAATGCTATTTGGTGGTTTCAGAGGATGTTGCATAACTCCTTCTGGACAACATGGATCTGGAAAATCGTTTCATCCCAAAATCAGTGGTCAAAAACTCTTTCCAAATATAGATTTGTTTGCATACAGCAGTGTTATTCAGTCAGCTTTAGAGGTGGTGGTGAACTTTGGACAGAGGCAGGCTGTTTCCTGGTGCTTCAAGTATTAATACAAAATCTAAATGTGTTATGGCTCCATGCCTTTGTGTGTCAGGCGTCTCTTTATTCCAATCTCATGGAATGAAATCCATATTTCAAAAGGCAGGATTATTCTTATAAAACTAAATAACAATTAAGAGTACATAATTAAATATAACATCATAATTTAACTCAAGCTGTTTCTCTTTCACATCTGAATGATTGAATTTACACAATAGAACATGATTAAAATATAATAAAAAATGCAGGGCAAAGTTCAGTTTCTAATTGGTTATGTATTGTGTACATAAACAGAAACGGGTTACTCCAAGGGCATTAAGACCTCCATAAAACGCAGCACAGGACGGTCAGGTGACATCCACCGAGCATCCACTGACGATTATCCCCGTTAATAACTCAACTGCCAAAAACATTCTGGACGGAAGATGAAAACACGCAGCTGCAATAAAAGGATGAAAATATCAGCTGCAACGTACATGAGCAAGTCTGTGCTTTTGTTCGCTTCTGTTTTAGGACTTAAGGCTGAATGCGGGGGACAAATAATCATGACAAAACTTTAGATCACTCATTTATTACATTTTTTTTTTTTTTTACAAACAGCAAATGGCACGTTTTCATAAATAACACTAAGCAATTCATTTTAACTCTCTTATTAAATAGAATTCTTTTCATTTGTAACAATGTTTCTTCCCATCTTGCAAAATTACTTTTTGAAACTTAACAAATGTAACAAAGACAGGAAGGATATAAACAAGCATGCCACCTGCATATTCAACTCCGGAAAACTTGAAAACACACTTTTTGCATCAGAAACATTTAGGAGGAGCGATATCATTGCACTTCTTTTTTTCAGCAAATAGCCAATAAACCAAACAATACCAACACCGTCTGTGTGCAAACACTTTTTTCTCAAAAATATATTACAAATATGTACAAAATGCTCCCGGCAAGTCTTTTCATTCACGCATAGGCAAAGTCATGCTGTAGGTAAAGGTCAACTTGACATGCAGGACAGTTTTTGATTTAACTAAGCTGCGATGCTTTGGTGTAACTGAACCTTAAGTTGTTAGAAGCAAGCGTGTCACTTGAAACAAGAGGAATATTGAGGAATGATTGTCCTCTGGCTAATAGATCCATTTAGGGGATATAATCCCAGCTGAGAAGCTTGTGGGCTTCTGTTTTTACGATTCCCCCTCGGGCTCTTCAGTTTAAAGCTCTGCAAGGCAAATACAGAAAGTTTAAGTCTCACTTTAATCCCGTCAGTCACAAAGTTTCATGTAATGCAGTTGTTAAAATTGGCAGTGTGTCAGTGAGCGGCAGTAAATCTAAACTACTTGACACATATCAGGTTTGACCATTCATTTTTCCCCCCTGCTTCCTGTGCTGGCATTTAGTTAGGGGACAGTCCCCGTGTCCATTCCCGAGATGTCAGCCAGTCCACTGGCTGGCATCTCGTTTGATATATGAGGGCCTATAGGAACAGTCAGCAGCCGGGGACAGTTTCTAAAATAATCCACTTCACCCGCCCTAACCCATCCCGGCTGGCTGTGGTGGGCATTTCACCCAGTTAATGACAGGCTCGGTGGGGCAGATCAATTTGCCCAATAAAAATAGAATTGATTGGTTGCACGCAGGCAAGCCTGAAGAGACAAGCAGCTGTGCTTTATGTAACATGGGGTGATGTTTGAGGATTGAGTAACGTTTCTTGGATCCATGCACAGTCGGAATTTAAAGAAGTTAAACATGACTTGGCAAAGATGAAAATGAGTTGGACGGGGTGAGTGACAGAAGTCAGTCAGCAGTGTATGACATGTTCCTGTTCAGCGTCCAGCACTCTCAGAGAAGAATTGGAAACCTGGAAGGAAACTGAAGCGCGATTTTTGCATTTTTAGATCAACACCTCATCAAACTCAGCATAAAGCGGATGATTGTTGTCTTTTGCACTGCACAGAGACTGCACAGTTTCAAGGAATTGGAAATCTTCGAGTGTGTCATAGTAAAATTTGGATCCCACAGCCACTGAACAGAAAGCTGATCCTTTGGGCCCAAGACGGGCCATCATCCAGCATGTGATTTACTGTATCGTGTCTCTTTAGCACATGTAAGCAGATATGTGCAGAAAAGAACATTTCCATGTATGTCGAAGATTAATTACTGTGGGCTGACATTACAAACCAACCTGAAGAGTTGATGTAGAGGCACTCAGATGGATGAGTCCCTTACCTTAATGTCAGATGTCACGGCCAACCTCTGCTATCATTGACTTCGGCCTGGAAATAACAGATTAAAATTGACGATAAACAAATATAAATATGTTGCCTGGTCGTCTAAACCATGTTAGGCTGTGTTGCTTAATCAAATCTATATGTCTGCAGAAGTTCAAGCATTCACAATCACATTAAAGAGAAGCAACGTACTGATCAATTTGCTGGTGAACCTCTTACATAATATGCTCTTCATGCCAATGGAGGAAGTTGTTTTATTTTTATTGCTCTAACAGATGAAATATAAAATCAGTGGCTTCTTGCAGCCACGGGATTTAAGTGCAACAATATATGAGTACTTTTCCATATTGTAGCTGCATGCGCTGTAGGACTGTATGTACTACAAAATTGGGTCACCTTTCTTTGGGGAGTGTTGAATTACTCTGCTGCTGGTCTTGCTCAAGTCTGGGGGAGAGGCACATAGTAGTAACATGCATGTTTAAATGAGCATGTGTAAACAAAGAAATTTTAAAAAAACATGTGACTCACCTTTCCTTTTGTGCTCTGATCTTCTCATCGTCATACCTTTAAGAAAAGGGGATAGAAATGCAGAATGATGAGGAGTTCTGTAACATCCTTCTCACCGGTGCTGAAGTTAAAAGTTCATCGCTCTGTGTTGATGCAGCTCATATGCAGAGACATGTTAAAGAGAAGGTTTTTGAAGGAATCTGCAGTCCTGAGATAAAATTCAGTCACTTGTAGAAGCACTTTTAAGAGCAATAACTTAAGCGAATCATTTTCTGTATGACTTTATCATTCTCCCACATAATTGAAGCGGAATTTCATCTTTATAGTGTTGCTTCATGTCATTGAGGTTTAAAGGCATTTGTGTATGGACAGCTCTCTTATGGTCCTTCCACAGCATTTTATCAGGTTGAGGTCTGGACTCTTTCATCCATCGTGTTGAAGATTTGCTGCTGTGCTTGGGATCGCTGTCCTCCTGCATGACACAGTTTCGGCCAAGCTTTCGCAGTCAGACAGATGGCCTCACATTTGACTCTAGAATATTTTGGTATACAGAGCTGACTTAATGGCTACAAGGTGCAAAATACCCAAATCATCACACCTCCACCACCATGCTTGACAGTTGATTTGTGGTGTTTGATTTTATTGAAATGTGGTGCTGTGTATTACGGTCATTTGGTCTAATCTGTCCGAAACTTTCCCCTGGAATCCTTCCAAACAAGCAACACTTATTTAATCGTTTTCTATTTGTGTTGTCATGAAAGGTAAAATTTAACATGCTAACCAAAGCCTTGAGAGTCCGATATGTAACTCTTGGATTTTTTGCAGTTTCTCTAAGCATTGCATGGGAAGATTGTGGGGTTGTGTTAACATTTGATTAGCAGCATGTATTAATTTCTATGGAAGCAGTAAAGGTGCACTTGGTTTTCCACAGATTCCACAGAGACTTTCTTTTGCACACGACAGTGGAAAAGTTTGTCTGATGTTGGCTCTGTTTCTTCTGTTTAACTATGCACTGCAGTTCTTCCAAAGCCTCAATCATCTTTTGAATTTGTTTTAAAATCAGTGTGAATACTCACTGGACCATTACTGTCTGCCATAATTCAGTTTTGAGCACTCTTGCACAGTTTGCCATAATAAACAAAAAAAATAAAAAGTGAATGCCTACTCAGAGTTGTAAAGCTCATGTTGGATTTCTTATATGTTTTTAATTTCTTTCTGTGAGGCACGTTGTAACTTTGCTACATATATAAAGTGTTTTTTAAATATTAATATTATTTTAATCACCTGCTGTTTCGTCTGCACAAGTCCATCTAAGTAAACAGTGAGAAGCAGACATTTAAACAAATGTGAAAAACTGTACATCAGTCTTAGTTATCCATAAACACTGTTGGACTGTTTGAATTCTTTCAAGATGTCAGGATTTGGACAACGATGCATGTTTTGTAATTTTGCCTCTGGACATCATATCACAAAAAAACATTAATGATGTGACCAAAGTGCAGACTTTCAACTTTAATTCAAGGAATTAAACAAAAGTATTGCAAAAATAGATTAGGAATAAAAACTATTTTTATATATTCCCTAATTGTCAGAGAGTCAGTGGTGACTGAACGATAGACTAACAACAGTTTCGTGACCTCTTCCCTCTTTATTCCATAACAAATTAAGCAGATAACAGACCTGGAGTTGAGTCTTGCATTCAGTAGTAAATACTTATGGAGCTGACTATATTGCTGTAAGCTTGCAAAGCAGAGTATAAGCTATGAAAGACACTTGAAGCATCTCAACAGGGACCCTTGGTGGCTGAGAGTACTTACTGCAGCACACATTCAGGAATCTGCACGTGCTCCATGGGGATAATCTGACCGAGTTCCTTCAGGGTGTGAACGTAACGGATCTTATCCATGAACTTCACACTTCAAAAAATATAAACAACATTGGGTTACTGTCACAAATTAATCCTAAAATATATGTGCATTCAGCCACGTAGCACAACATACGTACTCTGATTATGAAACAGCAACACTTTTCTCTTTTTAATGTTTTCAGTGTAGCGATGTGACAACTTCTCCAACCTATTTTCCCCTCTCTCTCTTTTGTTTTTAGATTTGTTAAGAGACAAGCTTTCACGGCCAAATGTGTCATAAATATACCTAATGAAGGGTCTTGAGATGGCCAGGACAGTGCGGATGAACCATGTTGGGTGAGCGATGATGAGACACTTTAGATTCTTCCTCAGTCTACAGGAAACAAACAGAGTTTATTACAATCCCCATTATAACTTTTAACTGCATGAAATCCCATGTATATTGGTTATCTTCATCTCTAGCATCAAGAACATCTTCAGCTTCACTATCTTCTAATTTCCCAAATTGTTTTCCGAGTTATTTTGACATTTTTCATCTTACTTTCTGTCTATCATCTGGTAGCATCTCTTCAGCCAGCTGATGCCAGGCATCTTTCTGCGAGGAGTTGCTCCATTCAGGTAAACAATCATGTAATCCTCTGCTACCAGCAGCTCCAGGCTGCTCACAACATACCTGAGAACAGACATGAACAACCTATAATTGTACATGAAAATAGCACATAAAATCCCCTCATTTGATTTATGATGAAAAAGAGTTCTGATATTTTATTTGTGGAGATAAAATGATCTTTCATTTAAAGGGGGATCCATTAAACTCACTTCCAGCTCTAGTTCATCTCATAAACTGTACCTGCAGGATGTTACACTTTGATTAGTGAGGCCCTGTTTTGAAGCTTTAGGCTGAGTATTTTTGGCATCACCATTTCATGTTTTGAAGCCAAACATGTTGCCCACGGTCTTCCCTGATCCATATCATACTTTAACACCCCTTTTTAATGGGGGTGTTTTCTGGTGTCTGTGTGTGGCGCTGCTGGGTAGTCTGTGCTGGCAAACAAATGTTACCGGTCTGGTAGTTACTCCTGGGTGGGTCTGGGGCAGGCTTGGGGACTTGGGGTACCTCTGGGCGGGGGTTTTGGCTGGACCTGGGGGGCTTGGGTGTATTGGTGGAACGAGGGGCCTCTTTAGCTAACTCTTAACCTGGGTTTTTATTGGCTTATGTAGTCTGGTAGTTGCCTGAATGCTGGGGTGGGTATAGTTCGGGCGGAGTGAAGCACACACACTCCCGTTCTCTGTTCGCCATCCAGGGCTGGAAGAGCTGGCTGTCTGGTCAGGGTCTGGGTTAGGGTTATGAGGCTGTTGGGCTGCTCTGCTGCTGCGGAGGCCAGGGAAGTCTACTTGTCTCCATCCCAGAGTGAAGGAGACCATCTCCTGGGTCTGTGGGCTGATTGCCCTTCTACGGGTTGTTGGTTCCAGGACCTGGGAGTGTATGGGGAGTGTGAGTATGTGTACGGCGTCCATTTCTGTGTCTCCATGTTGGGTGTGTGTGTGAGTGTTTTTATACCTGTGCATGAGGGTGGGAATGCATGCTTGTGTCTGTGTTGTCCTGTTTGTCTTTGTGTGTCAGGTCAGGTCTCTACCTCTCTTAGAACATCTCAGGCCAATAATGCCTAGTAATGCTCCACTTGTGAAAGTAAATCTGTTTGTCATTTTATGGCCTTCAGACAACAATTCTGACTTCTACACTGCTGCAAAAAGACAGGAGGAGAAAAAAGAAGAAGAAAGGGGTGACTCAAAACTCATGCACAGTACTGGAGGCATTTACTGAGGTCATAGGAGCAGAGGATTCTGCTCTAGAATCTGAACTCAGGAGTGCCACCTGCTGGCTATTAGAAATAATGGCACAGATTTCAGGGACTTTACTGGCTCAAGATCTCAACATGACGTCTGGTTTTTTTCTTCATCAGAAACAAACTGTTTTAGCTCCCTTTAAGGTCAAGGGGCGGGGCTTCCATGCTCAAAGCCAGAGCAGCGTGACTGCGATGACCATATCAGGATATCCTCTCTTACTGACATCACACAGCGCCAAGAGTAGAACAAGCCGTTTAGAACTGACTATTTTGAGCAGTCTGAAATCAGGGATCACTATCTCAAACTTTAATATAAGCTCTCCCATTACAACAGTATGGATTTAAATAACATTAAAAAAAACCCATAACAGGTCCACTCTAATTTTAAGAATTATTTGATTCATTATTTTACATCCTCATTGGATAGGAGACTTTTTACATTGGAAACGTTTAATGGATTGTAGAGTGAGATAAGAAGGAAGTAAGGTTGTCGCCATGTGATAACAAAGAAAGGATCTTACAGGAAGAGATTTTCCATGATGTACGTGTAGTCGTCACAGCTGCTGTCAGGAAGGTAGCAGGCTGCAAACACGATGATGGCATTCAGACCTTCCCCGTAATATCCTGACAGAAGAGAGAGATGCAGTTGCTCCATTCGTAGTGGCAAATTATCACGTGGCAGGTAGGACATGTAAATGTGTCTGTACTCTTTTACATTTCACCTACGTTTTACATTTAATACCAGGAAGTGGGCCGATAAGATTTATAATAGCATAACCATCCTAAGGAATCCATTTGGGGAAACAGTCTAACTAACCTCCATGTGTGACCACTCTCAGGTACGGCCTGATGACCTGCATATCGATCCGTTGCTCCTGGTCGCCAATGATCACTGTTCGCCACAGACGACCTGACGAGTCTCTCTCCTCTTCGCTCTCACCTGGGAGGCGCTTAGCAGTAGCCACAGGTGTGTCGTCTGAAAACAAGGTGACACCAGAAAGCAGCTGCTCACAACACATGTAGCCAACATGAGCAGAGCTGGCAAAGGGAAATGAACCTTTTCAAAGCTATAAATTACGATTTATGATGACATTTAGCATACAAACGTAAAATGTACTCTAAGCTCTTTTTACAACATGTCTAATTCATACAAGCACCTTTTTCTTCTTCTAAATGTTTCTATCTAACATTCAAATAACAACTTGGGGGTTCAGCATCTTGCCTGAGGATACTTTGGCTGACTGGAATTGCCTCAAACCACCATCCTTCCAATTAGTAGCTGACCTGCTCCACCTCAGAGGCAAAAAAGGACCATATTTGTCAATGTAAACAACAATATTGCTAAAGTTACTGCACATAACCTGGTGCAATTCAAATGTTCCCTTCTTTGTAAAATTAAATATCATGAAATCCTGAATTTTTCCACCTCATTTACAATGCAGGCTTACTCTTCAGCTCACCTTTATACTAAATATGTGGTATTGGCTTGTTCAGACAGCTCAGAGGCCACACCAACAACAACGCACAATACAACTACTCAACATGACTGACAGAGACAACGCCTTTAAATGGAGCATAGAATAAGCGCTGATTTCACTGCATGGCTCAAGCACACGATCAAAAATATGTTACCAGAGAGCAAAATATCTGCTCCCCTTGGATGTGACCTTCTTGCGTTGCTAAAATTTAATAAACAAACAAAAAAACCTGCTCAGCTGGGTAAAAACTCATCCCAAAAGGATACACAGACCCAGCAGCTATTTGTTTTAAACCAGCACGATCCATCAAAGCTGGAAGCACAGATTTAGAACAAGAAAATCCAGAGGAAAAATGACTAAAAGAGATGTGAAGAATGAGAAGCAGCAAAGGATACACCAAAGGGCTCCTAACAAAAGCCCCTGCAGAGGGGAACGAAAAGCTACTACTGCTTAGAAAAAGCTGTAACATCTGGACCTGAGCTGATCACTGACTGTGCTTACATTCATGTACTGCACAGACACGAAAGCCTCCCTTATACCTGGGACCTGAAGGATCAAATGTAACCCCTCACTAGACTGTAAAACTGCTAGAGCTCCAGAGCAACACAGGAGTTGGGATTGATAATGTTAGAGCCACCAGCCTTAAATTGGTGTTAAGGCTAATTTTAACTCTCTTCGGCTTTTCTCCTTTGTTTAAATCAACACATAGTACGATGTAATATCATCTTTTATTGTTATGCTTTGTCTTTTGTGACAGTACTCAGCATTCCCTCTTTTTTAGAGTGTGTGTCATTGTTTTCATTGTTATACTGTGTGTGTTTAATAGTTATTGTGTTGTTTTTAGCTTGCGGAAATAAATGTGCCTCTATTCTACATTTGTTCTGGTTTATTACAACTACCATATAAAACTATATCATTACAGAAAGATTATGTACAGTTTGTCGATTTGTCCTCATTATGTGTTCTAATAATTTCCCCCATAGAAGTTTTTGGATGCTAAATTTGAACATGCATGTACCTTCCCACTCTAGCTCGTTGCCGTTGTTGATGAACTCCAGTGAGTCAGTCTCATCTGGAGTCTCGATGTCATCAACATTGATGTCCAGGTCGTCGGGCGTTTCCAGGAAGTCATCAGAGAGCACCGACCCCTCGCTCTGATCCAGAGACAGGTTCATGTCGGGGGCGACCAGCGTGCGACGCTTACGTTGGGTCATGGATTCGCCGACATTCAGAGTGGTGGGAGGATCTAAGACAAAATGTTATGAAAGTATGGATACACCTTATACGTATAAACATGAGTGTGTCTCTATAAAAAATATAATGGTGTCTATTTAGTCCACTTACTGGTCCTGCTGTCAGAGAGGCCACATGCATCTCCATCCTCTGGCAGTGGCCTGCAGGGAAACGAACGCAGCATAAATAAACAGTTAAATTGGAAATAATTGTACATACATAAGAATTATATCTGGCTTAATGTCTTCCTGCTGCCAAGTAATGATTGTTTTGGCTGTTATATAATTGTATATTATAAGCACAACTGTTAAACTAAATAATCTGCGATGATGAAAACCACTAAAAAACCATGAAGTACTAACAGTCAGTCTCAGCATTTTGCTCTTTGCCCTTTGTTTTTAGAGAGGCTGCGATGCGAAACCCGATTTAAATATATTTCACCCTGTCGTTTGAGAAAGCAACACCAGCAATTACCAACTCCCCTCTGATTTTATAACAGGACAGCTGAAACCTCGGTGAGGGACTGAGCAGGCTAGATTAGAGTGCACACACATATGCAGACAGGCAATAACAGAGACTTGCATACACAGACAAACACACCCTGAAACACCACAAGTATGGACTGATGGAGCTGCTGGATAATTGCTGTTATTAAATTGTCAGTAGCTATGTAGAAGCAAGGTTAAGACCGCACCGACAAGTATTCAAGAGCGAATTAAGCAGTAGGGAAGAGAAAAACAATTTTCAGTGTTAAATAATTTGCTTCTAACACAGACCTCCAGGTCTGAAATCCCCCCAGATGAATCACAATATTCCACTTCTCTTACCTAATATTCCACCACCATAATTCATGTGAAGTCATCCTGAGATATTTTTAGCCTTGTTAAATGCATTAAACACACGCATTAGTGATTCTGACACAAAAGCATTTTTCAGACAGTCACAGGACTTTGCTGCATGTACTGTGTGTGGATGTTTTTGGAAGATAATGAAGGTTTCTCTGATCAGCTTCTAAAAGCATATTTCCCCTGCTGTCAAAGAAAGATTTTGGCCAGCAGTAGAGCGAGTGGCTAGTCTCCCATAGCTTGGACACTGCGAGGTATTTGACTGCTCCTCTTTTTCCATCTGCTGGTTGCTATTTTGTTCGCTGACTTGCTACAGCCTCATCACATAACACCTGATGACTACATCATGGAAAGTACACACCTGCTTCCTTTCGGCCCTCCGCGCACTCACACAACATGTGACAGACTTTCCATCGAAGCTTGATCTCTTTGAAAAAGCTTCTGCACAAATCAGACAAACTGCACGCACAAACACAGACTGTTTGTTTCTCTGCCTCGTACCTGGGGAAGTCTTCATCCTGCCACTCGTCCTTAACCTCCATGCTGTCCATGCGTAAAGTGGCTTCCGCTGTACCCATCCTCTGACAGCAAGGATGGGCTTCAGCTCGCTGTAATAGGCAAACAAACAAAAGAATTCATTGAGCCGTTCACCAGGAAGTTCACCGAATGGTTTAACACACTGCTAAAACATTCAGTCGTTGCAGCCTTATTAAAGTAGACACTCCACCCAAATTACACAACCTGAATGATGTCTTTTTCTGGCTTCTTATACTTGTCTTTATTACAAACTGAAAGTGGAGATAGATGAGCGTGGCTGCTTTATGATCAGGATTTAACATAAAAAAGTTTTAAGCCACTACCAAGGAGTTTGTTTATCTCTTTGTTTGCTTAAACGTTTAACCTGACCTGTCAATCATTCGGGCATTAAAAAAGACACCTAACTGAAGGGATGAACCAGTGTTGTATCTTCACTTAACAGAAAATCTGGGGAAGAACCTGTTTTAAATGATATCTTTAGGCACTTTGTTACTAGCAGCCTGTTGTGAAACACATTATTTGTTCCTGTTTCTTTGGTTGAATCTGTGAAAAATACCACAGATAACACCATGTGACAGACATAAAATAACATTTTTGCAGCAACAAGGTGTTTCCCCAAAAGCTCTTAGCTGAAAACTCTACATAGTAGCAGACCTAAAATCTATCTACTGCAGATGAACAGCATCTGAAAGTCATGTTCTTATAAAATGGAAAAACAAAACAAAACAAAACAGAGAAGATGTGGCACAGAATATGAGAGATGCATCTGGCCTCTAAGTTGATGTATCTCTCTTCTCCTCACTGACATCTCCTCAGAAATGACCTCAGTAGAAGGGTGGCGACACAAAACTATTCTTAAGAAAGGGAAGCAGGGACAAAAGGCTGGTGTGTGCCAAATTACACAAGAACTAGACTGAAAACCATCCATAAACAGGTCTTATGGAGGGATGCATGTCTATGGTCAGGGGAGCAATATAAGAGTGTTTATAGTCGTCTGTAAAACATGGTTGGAACTGAATTTCAGTCGGTGGTGTTGGGAATTATGTTGAAATTGATGGAAACATATATGCAGAAAAGAACCATCAGATTTTGATCCAGCATGCAAGACCATGTGAAAAATGTCAGATTGGAAACAATATCGTTTTTTTCAGCATGACACTGATCCCAAACACACTGTAAATGCTGCAAAGTGCACTTGAATAGAACAAAACACACAATGGAGCACTACCAGAGCCTAGACCTCAACTTCACTGCAGCGGTGTGGGATCATCTTGACAGAGGATGCATTAAAAGTCACAGTATGCACAGTATTGTCTCTAGTTGCATCATGGGAAATGTGTCATGTCTGGAGCTTGACCCTTGGAGGTGACACAAAAATTTGGATATGTCACCCACCTCTGATTCTGTCAGCTTCTCTCTGTTAAATAAAATGAACTTCATTATGTAGCTGTTGCACTAAAGTAGTTGAGTATATCATAAACAGGTGAAGCAATGGACTCAGAGGAATTAGAGACTGGAATTGGACGATCGGGAAAGCAGAGTAGATGCGTTGTCTTGTTTGTGTCGGGCAGACTGTATTTAAGAACAAAATCTGAACCCAAGAACAATTTAGCCCTATGTGTTCTGTTGTTAAATCACAGAAATGATAGTTTGACATAACCAAGTCCCAGTGGGTTTCCTTCCCCATGATCCCTGGGGGAGGGTGACATAAACAGTTTCTCATACAATACAGATCTTCAGGGCACAACAAGCACTTGCTTCTGTAAAGCAGATCATGATCTAAGCTTCCATATTATATAGAATCAAAGCAGATATCTCCCTCCATGACATCATGCTCTATATTTGGTATTTGATGTAAAGGTTCACAGTGTTTTATTTATAGCAGCCTGACCATTAGGGATTAGTCATGCACAAAGTAAACATCATGTGTAAGTCTTGTGTCTCCCTATGTCACTCTCCTAGCCAGAGTTCCTCAGGCTACAGACGCAGACTTTACTGTGATCCATTTGTCCACTGGGTTGGCACTGATGTGTGGAATAAAAAAACAGCAAATGTGGGCTAAAAGGTGCAGGTCCTCCAGCTACATGTTCCCAGTACAGCTGTATTGTAAATCGATTCTAAATGATGGAGAAAAGAGGTATTTGCACTGCATTGCCTGATAAGAAAGTTGCAGTGTTTGGTGCAGATCCTTAAATGCCATTTTAACTGAGACCTTTCTGCTTAAATTACATTTCAAGTTGCCTTCCTCTGATCTCACACGATGACTGCATGTGGTTTATTGTGGTGCGCATGTCTCTTTCAAAGGCTCAGCTGCATGCACAGTGAACTGCTGATTGATGGACACAAAGTAATGTTGCAGCGGCACGTGTTTGGTGGGGATTTATGTCCAGATGGCAGGCCTGTCCTCATTTCCCAAACGCTGTCTCGTGAACTATTGATGCTGTTGCGCTTGGCAAACCTGAGACCTGAAACAGGCGCAACACTTGCATAAATGTTACCACATACTTTTTTCTGACAAGTACTCTGTCTTTGATACACAACAGGTGGGATCAAGTGAAGCGGAGAGGTAGTTTTCGCTCGTCTCTGTTATGAAATCATTTACTCAAAGATAAGCATTAATAGAACAGTTGAAGATGAAAGGCGACAGAGAGGTGGTCATGTACAGCCTGAAGAGAATGATGTCAAAAGCCTAAAAACTTCTCATCTTTTCAACATCTCTTAATATCTCTGACAACACTGAAAACAAAGTCAAAATATGATCTGTTTGAAGAGTGTGACACCTGAAATCTGCTTCATCCTGACTGTGTAGTTGCAGTTTGATCAGATCAGCTTGTGTTCACAGAAAACCAGCGGCTCCCACGACTGTCATCCCACTGTGATCTAAACATTTCCCTTTTTCCTTTTTTGAGCCCGCTCCACTTCAGAATAAACAAACTAATAATAAAAAGAATAATCTTGGGTCTTACTGTATCACTCTTATTGAGAAGCTGACAAAGAAAATTTGTGTTTGCGTGGCCTTTAAATGTGTGCAAAGAAGCTATTGTGTCACGACTGCCAGTCCTCAATTAGCAGAAAAACTAAAACCGTCTCAGTGATTAATTGCGTGCAGTCACAGAACGAAACAAAGCACTGAATGTCACGTTTGATGTTCTGCCCTCTGGGCCTCCCATCAGTAGAATCTGTTCAGAAGAAGAGCTCTTTATGAGAGCGGAAAGCGGAGAAAACCATGGTTTAAAAGCAGGATACTCACATACTGTAATTACAAAGGCTTTCTGCGTCCCTGCTTCCCTTTCAGATGGTCCCCCTTCCTTAAAGCTGCTGAGTGTGGATCATCGCTGATTACATCTGCAGGTGTGTGCTGAGGGCCTGGGCTGCTGGATAATTCTTGTTTTTTACCCCTGCTGTTAATGGAGGCTGAGGCAGTAACTGTGTCCTCCTGTAGAGAGGCGAATGAGAGGAGAGTCTGTCACCGTGCAGCAGAAACATCCCGCTCTCACCTTCCCAGCGTCCTCACTGTGCTGCTTTCTGATCTAAATAACAATAATCCTGACCGTGTACCTTTAGCATGTTTCATGATGATCACTCTCCTCCTCCTCCCTCCACCAACTCTAATGCCCCCACCCCAGGCTTTAATCCTGCTGCGATGATGTCAGCCGTATGGGAACAGTGTTATGATGGTTACGTAATAACAACTGCCTACCTTCTCTTTGATTCTGTCAGGCCACTCGGAGTCAGGATCACCTGTTTCCCTCACATTCAGTCCATTCTGGATTCTCCATCACTGACGGAGTTTGTTTCCTCCGGAGAGCAGGAAAAAAATAGATGTTTCTATTTCAGCGCTGTTCCCTGGCAACAGCATCTTCACCCATTACGCGCACAGTCTCTCGCTCTCTCGTTTTTTCCCCCACCATCTCTTATAACCTCTCTCTCCCTCGATGAAGCCCCTCCTTCACACAGATTCCCCTCCTTTTCTCCTGCTTGCTGGCTCTGACTCTAATTCACCTTCCTCCCTACTTCTCCTGCGGTCCTCACAGCTGCACACAGCTCTCCGCAGTGTCACCGCACACGGAGTGGCATCCCTCCGGCATTGCCCTCAATACCCAAAGGGAGCAAGCACAACTTCCAGCTCTTCAGCTCAGGCAGAAAAATTAAATTCAGGTGTTTTTACACTTTATATTAACAACATTTCACTGCACAGCACTGAAATATGCCTGATTTATACAATAAGCGCTTAGCAGATGCAAATTTTGCATTAAGCAACAGTTTTATCTCTGTAAGAAATCACTTATTTTGTTGATGTTTACTGGAATTAGGATTCTATTTCGTTTCTACTTTATTTCACAGAAAATCATCTGTAGCTTTTTTATGGCTTCTAATGTTGTTATTAATTCCTTTTAATAGTTAATAAGGTGACAAAATATCACATGTTGATATTTTGCATTATTTTCCTCAACAAAAAGCATGCTTTTGTAACGATTTAGTTTAGTTTTTTAGTTACTTGAACTCAGTTATTTATTTATTTTTTTTAACAGCACGACATAATCTATGTCGTGCTCTTCTTCTTTATTTTTTCATTTTTGTCCATTTGCCAGCAGATGGCGTGAGAGTGCTCCACAAGTCAAACTCATCAGTGTAAAATAAGAGTTGGGCTGCGCTGTATTACAGTTTGTAAGGCTAGCATATTCAGCACCCTAATTTAGAAATAAGAAATTTAATCCTGTGACATGTGCCACAAAAATACAGCTCTGCTTCCTGGAGAAAGCAAACATCTGTTACTTTCATTCTAGCAGTCTGGAATAAGGAGCCAAAGGTTTGATCAGGCTACATTAACATGATGTGCAATACTATTACTAACAAGACTGTTAGTTTTGCCCTGAAGGAGTTAATATTTTACTTATTATACAGAACCCATCATTTTATGCTTAATTTGCAGTGCTGTAGGAAGTGACTGTTCCTGAGAGATGAATCTTTACTAGCAGGAACATTTTAAGTGCTTCAGCAGCAAAGAGATGAAAGGCAATAATAAATAGAAAAAATCATTAAATAAAAGGTGAGGTATAAGATAAAATATATAACGGCAAGAAGTTCAATTCTACCATCAGGCCGGGGTCTTTCTGTGTGGTGTTTGCGTGGGTTCCCTCCGGGTACTCCTTCCTCCCACCGTCCAAAGACATGCAGTTTGTGGGGATAGGTTAACTGATTAAATTGCCCGTTGGTATGAATGTGGGAGTGAATGTGAGCGCAAATGGTTATCTGTCTCTGTGTGTTCGTCCGGCGACAGACTGGCGACCTGTCCAGGGTGTACCCCGCCTCTCGCCCTATGCCAGCTGGATAGGCTCCAGCGCCCCTGAAAAGGATAAGCGGAAGTGAATGGATGGATGGATGGAATAAAAATATAATGTTGAAGTAGACGGATGATCACGATGGCTAGTGTTACTTACACACTGTGTAAGTACTGTTTCACTATATTTTACATAATATTGGACAAAAACAGTTACATGCATGTCAGTGCTGTGATTTTATCTAATGAGCAGTGTTGATTGTAAAGTCTGACTGCAGCAGGAAGGAAGGACCTGTGATGTCTTCACCTGAGTCTCCTGAGCAGATGTAGTCTGTGATCTATTCTTTCTTGAATATATCAGAGAACATTCAGGAACCTAAAGGAATTTATCATTTCAATCTCTTCTCTTCTCCGATCCAGCAGAGAAGCTTTGCACCTCTGAAGTCTAACGTCTGTTCTTTGTTTTTGTTTGTTTGATCTGGAGGATTTGGGGGTATGAACGGCTGGGTCACTGCAAAGCATCTCAGTCTGATTTAAGTATGGATTATGACTAGGACCCTGCAAAATGTTCATGGACATTCTTCTTCAGGATTTTCTGGTAGACAGCAGAACTCATCGTTCCATCAATTACAGCAAGTCATTAAGCAGCAAAGCAACACCAGACCATCACAATACCACACTACTATATTTGACTGGGAATGTAGTAAGACACAAACCTTCTAAATATCTGAACTTTTGTCTTGTAAGTCCACAGAATATTGTCCCAAAAATCTTAGGGATGATGATCAAGATGTTTTTGGCAAATGTGAGATGAGCCTTTGTGACCTTTTTGGTTTCTCATCTCTTCTTGAGTTTCTTTAGATTCGGACATAACATGTTGCTTTTTGAGGTCTTTAAGCCTGCTTCACTTTGTCACACACGTTATATTTGGATATATTATACTTGGACATGTTATATTTCTTGATTTAACAGATCTGGCAGTGATCAGGCCTGGATGTGGCTCATAAAATTAACCTCAGCTTTACATGATACATTTAATTACTTTTTCACATAGGGTTGGATAAGTTTGATTGCATAAGAGGGGTTGGATAGCCCCTTTCTCCTAATAAATTAAATCATCATTTTAAAACTGAATTTTGTATTTACCTGAGATGTCCTTCTTAAATTTTGAAATTACTTTAATTTTAAATTACCTGAAACATTTAAGTCTGACAAATATGCAGAAAACCAAGAAATCATGAAGAGGGCAAATACCTTTTTGCAGCACTGTATGTCTTAGCCTGGAGCTCTGACCATTACAAACATCCTCCAATCGAAATGTCTTCATTTTCCAAAAACTTTATCAAGATCTGAAAGAAGTACTGCTACTTACTGGTTTAAATGAAGTGATATATCTGTAGTGGGCAGTCTGGCTAACACCAACACAATCTCCATGGATACCATGCCCATCTGTGTGACGCCTGCTGCATCAGAATTTGCAGCTGTGGTAGTCAGACTAAAAAGGAAATCAGTGTTTGTCTTCTAGTGTAATATTGGTTTTAAGTTACTCAAAATGATGAATGATCAAAGTTTTAAGCTTGACCAGTCATTTTTGTGGAGGCGATTTTTTCCATATTTGCTCAGCCCAGGTCTTACATAATGCTCTTTCTGCTCTGTTAAATTTGTAGTGAACCACGAAAACCTAAAAATATTCTAACCATTATTGTACTTCACACAGAGGTCAGATTTCCCCTGAGGTAGAAATCAAGCATGGTCAAACAAGAATAAAGCCTGCACAAGGAAGTGCGAGTTTTATGCTTTAGTAGGTCAAACACACTGTCTGGGTGTCTGTACCGTAAGTCTTACATAAAAAGTAGATCACCTGGAAAATGTCCAAAACTCGTCGTGAGACCCTGGAGGATGGGATGAAGAAGAGATTCTCATGCGTCACAAATGGACTTGTTAAAGACATGGTGGATTACCAGGTCAGAGGTCAAAGTGAGAGAACACTTGACCACTTTAATCGGTACCTAGTACAGACAGACTGTACTAGGTCTGTACTAGGACCTTAGTACTAACAGATTGGACCCCCTTATGTCTTCAGAACAGCCTTAATTCAACAAGGTGCTGAAAACATTCATCACAGGTTTTGGTCCAAAGTCACATGATAGCATCACACAAATGCTGCAGATGATGCAGATCTCCTGTTACACCACATCCTAAAGGTGCTCTGTTGGATTGACATCTAGTGACTGTGAACTCGTTGACATGTTAAGGTATGGAGCAGTAAGGTCAAACGCGCTGTTTCTGTGGCCGTACAGTGAGGAGTATTTAAACTGTAGGTTACCTGGAAAAAGTCCAGGAGTCTTGGTGAGAGTCTGAAGGATGGGATAAAGAACCTATACGTCACAATAGGCTATGGTAAAGACGACGTGGATTACCGGGGCAGAGGTCACAGTAAGCCAATTCTTGACCACTCCTCTGTCTGTATACTCGCAGCAAATAACCTGTGGTATAAAGCAGGTGAGCTGTAGTGACACAGGCTCACAGGCTAAACTGTGGCAGGTTGTTATAGCTTGGCAGCATCTCTTTTTTGTTGTTTGAATTCACAACAAGGACAAGTGAAGAAAGAGATCTGAAAGATGTGTTTGGTCTCTTGTGTGCATTAATGAAGCAAGGACGATTAAAACAATGGTCCTAAAGGAGTTTTCAAATTTTGTCAAAAGACCTAAGAAAGTATGACAGACAAAAGCAAAGGAGGCTAAAATAGTAAAAACAAAATTACATAATTGAATGGGACCTCAAAAGTTTTCTGTGACACTAATAATAATCTGTGAATAGACATAAGCAGTAAATTAAAAGAAATCTGATGTCTTCATCAGAGAAAAAATCCCACACGAATTTCTAAAATCTCTCAAGGGATATTTTATTTAGACGTTTCCATCTCAGTATGTTCATTAAGATACACTCACAAACCACTTTATTAGGTATACCATTTCGAGATGATTTGAGTTTTGAGACATGGTGTGTTATCCTGCTGAAAGAAGCCGTCAGAAGATAGGTATGCTGTTGTCATAAAGGGATGGACATGGTCAGCAACAATACTCAAGAGGCTGGTTTATTTGAACAATCAGTTGGGATCCAAAGTATCCCTCACCATTAAAAGAACACCACCACCAACAGCCTTAATAGCTGCTTGAAGGCGAAATGATTCCATTAATCCATGCTTTCATCTTCACTGTCATTTTTCCAATCTTCTTCAATTTTGGTCTGTCTATACTGTAGCCTCAGTTTCCTGTTCCCAGCTAACAGGAGTGGAACTCGGTGTTGTCCTCTGCTGCCATGGTTGTAATACGTTGGCTGCAATGAGTTAGTTGCTGTGCTTTGTATCAGTTTGAAGTATCTGCCTATTCTCCTCTGGCCTCTGACATCAACAAGGCATTTTTACACAGAGAACTGAATATTTTACAGTGTCTGTAAATCCAAGAGAAAGTTTCTGTGCAGTTTTTCAGCTCTGGGTGTTACAGAATGTTTATGTTATGAAAGTGTGATGTCCACAACATCACTAAAATACTCCTTAGCTCTAACTAGGACAATATATGGCAGTCATGGCAGACAGGAACGCTTCAGGACACCTTTGAAGTATCATTCACCTCTTTAATTCCTGTTTTAA